ACAGTTTCCAATTATCCTCAGCTTATGTAACACTGAACACGGAAAGTCAGGACAGCTGTCACTCACAAGGAATCCTTTGCTCATTGATCTGTATTTCCCATCAGCTATTGAGCCAAATGATTTATTAAAAAACTAAATAATTTTTATACTGGTTCCCAAATTGATTTTAAATTGTTATCAATACTCACGTGAATCGTGTTCTAAAACTGCATTCCATGGATAGACATTTGGTGTTGGTCCTAAATCACCACAAGATTTTTCTGATGATCGCAAAAATGAACCCCATCTTGCAGATTTAGTTCCAACTTAAATTATAATTATAATGAATTGAAATATTTAAAATATATTTATTTTATAATATAGAAAATAACTTTTTCTGTAGTACAACTACAGTAGTTCATGCTCTTTGTTTATTTTATTGCGATTATTTACCTGTTTCATCATAAGATAGTTTATATGTCAAATTGCAATTATTTTACAAGAACATATCTTTAAAACAATTAACAAATCAGGCAGAATTTGCGCTATTATTACTTTGTTGTCCAATTTTTTAAGTAAAACTTTTTTAGGGGCGCGACTAGGGTGTAAATTCGTACAAATGCAACGGAAGTGCGTTACGGCAGATGAAAGATAAGATAAGAGTCGAGTGCCAATGATTCGTCATTCGCTCTCGATGATATCATTTCTATACGGGTCGATTGTGATTAGTCGTCGCGTATGTGAATAGAAATCGGCATTGAAATAAACATTTAAAGTTACATCGTAGTACAAATCTTGATTTATTGAAAAATGCTTGAATCAGAAGAATATTTTACCTGTCCCCCGTGATAATATATAATGAAATAATAAAACAAGTGCAGCATTTGCGCCGTATATGAAACATAAGTTTGTTGAAATAATTTCTATATTATTCGTAGTTTCTATAAATCTTTGAAGTTATTGAAACGAAAAATATTTTTTAGACAAAACAAATATTACAGCTGTTCAAAGAATGAGATTATATCGCCAGCGAAAAAGTAAAAAAAAATACCAATGGTGTTAATTTTAATTACATGAAGTTCGTCAAACACAATTATTACATGATAGGTGAAGTTGCGAAAACAATATTTTTTATATTGATTTATTAAGTTTAGGCGTTGTTTAACATAATACGACACTGTTTGAACGAATATTAAAAGTTATTAATCAGCAAATACTTCATTTTTCTAATAAAGATTCATTTCTAAATGCTAATTACAATGACAAACCGATCATGTCATATTTGAAATATGGCTTTAATTACATTATTGTTTTTAAATATTATACATATTTGTAATGCTATTATAAATATGTAATTTATAATTTATAATTATATAAATGTGTATAATGGTTGACACTAATAAATATGTGCATCACAAATGTTACTATATTACTGATAAACATTATTCAAAATTGTTATATGATGTATTTATACTTAAATGCCATCTTGTACAGTAGCAAATAAGTTTTACTTCAATCGCGTGTGAACCTTACGCGCACTCATTTTTTTTTGTTATACTAATTGGGTAGCCAATATTATAATACTAGTAATAATGGCCAATATTATATTACTAGTAAATAGTCCTAAGGCAGGTCCGTGAGCTGAGTTATATTCCAACTAAATTCAGAAAAGAATTGTGAGGTTTCCCATTGCCATTATAACACGTAGTGCCCGAAATGAGCTATTTTCAATTGGAAACATATTTTTGTTAACTGTATACTACATAGTTAATTTAATTCGAAGCGCCTTCACATTTAAATTAATTCTTATTTAAAAAAATGTTTTATCTACTTACCTATAGAAAATATAAATATCAACAACAAATTTTGAATCACTGCCATTGTTTTAAAATGTTAATCACAACGATTTATATTCTTCAATACAATGTCGACTGTAAGCAAGCATCAGCATCGATCGCATATCACTTCATATACTAATGTCTTCTAATAAATAATCAACTATCTGGAAACGATTATTTGAGTTAGTAATTTTCTTAGGTCATGAACTCTGTGATAAAAATATTTAGGAATCATATATCAAATTAATTGACTTTCCAAATTATCACTCTATTTCCGTTAAACAAAAAATGCAATTTCAACATTGCTTTTTATGAAACTAAATGGTAACTGATTATTGATATACATAATACATTGTTATACATATACTACAATGAACAAGTTTTTAACAGCTGGTGACATAGTCTTTGGCAGTAGGTCTTATTTATTTACTTTATTCAAAGTTAAAACTGGCAAAAATTTAGCGCCTGATTTTAGCTTAGTCAGTTACTCTATTGCTACATTTGCCTTAGGGTTTTAGATATTTGTTTCTATCGTTGCCTTTAATAGGGCTATTCTGCCGTAAAAGAGCTCATAAAATAGCGTTGTCATGGCAACGCTCTTTTATGCTTGGTCTTGGTATTGAAAATTAAGAAATTGTCTATATATTTGCCGTGTGATCAGGCATATTCTACATATAAACAAACAAAGATGAATGTTGTGATAACACAATTTTAGATGATTCAGTTATTGTAACATTATTCCTTGCTTGTTTATATGTAAAATACGCCTGATCGCACGAAAAATAAATAGACATTTTCATAAATTTCGATACCAAGAACAAGCATAAGAGAGCGTTGCCATGACAACGCTATTTTATGAGCTCTGTTACGGCAGAATTGCCCCATAAAAGTGCAAAAAAAAACTTTTTTTGTTGTAAATATGCACGTAATATTTGACAAATATGAACGGCGAATTTAGACATAAACACTGGAAGTATGAAAAACGAATACGAATGTAAACACGTTTTTGATCAGGTATATTCATGAAAGCATATAAAACATGTTGTCATATGTATTTTAGTTACTTAAATGCAGTTTGAACTGTAAAACACTACTCCTCAAATTACTTTCTAAAAATTAATTACAATTTCCTTATCACATTAAGTAAAAATGCATTAATCGATTAACTTATGATTATAAATTTATTATCCGAATCTATTTAATTCACTGAAGTTTCTGTAGCGTTAACGACCCATTCCAACAACTTTCCCGAAGTTTCCATTAAGTTGACATAGATTGTGGGTGAGTTTGGTGGAATTTCGTAAATCGAAGTTGCTTGCGATGCAACACCGGCTGCGAAATGGTATCCGCCGTCATTGTACATCAAGGGACCCCCTAAATCACCTGAAAAAAAATTAATAATCGTGATCAAATATCTAGTTCCAAAAGTCAGTAATATCTATACAAGGTGTTCTAGAACTCAACGTCAAGCCGACACGGGGTGACAGTATTGATAGTAATTATTACACTGCGTGATAGTAAATTATATTCCTGATATATGTTATGATGATTTTTAAATAATTCGAGGAAAAAAAGCAACCGCAACTTTGATACCAGCTCTAGTTTTTAGATATATAAATATGCTGAATATGCTTTTACCTAAAATTACAATAAACAATTACAGATTGTTTTATTTTATGCTTGACTGATTTAGTCGTAAGCTCCAAGAATTGTCGGCCATTATTTAAGTGTTTTATTTCCCCTGATATCCTCTATAGTCATGTTGGTGGATACTCTCGCCCTGCTTTTCGCTAGCATCTCGAACATTTTACAAAATCAAAACCGTTCTAAGTGATAGTGCAGGTAATAAATTTTGATACTCATGTTGCATCCTAGATCTTTTAAATTAGATAACATGCATTCGGGAAGCTCAATATAGAACAGAATTTTTGGTTCCCAGAAAATTTGTAACGACCAAAACGAATGGCTCCTTGGTTTTCTTCTCGAATTTACTTATAGAACTCACAAACTTCCAAATTTTTATGAGTTGCCTAATGTGAGGATTATCGAATATATCAGTTTTTAACTCTTTTGTCTTCTCTTTTGATGTTGGTCTCTCAATCCATTACATGGTAGGCAGAAGATGTTGATGTTCTATGTTGTTCATTCTGAGCATGGACAGTGTTTTGTAGCTGATCGTAAGTGGTCCCCAAAATCATTGGAGTTGTGGGGTGTGACGATTTGCTTTTAATGTCTGAATTTCTTCCATTGATATTTGCCACACACAAGAAACAGTCGTCGTGAAGATTCTGAAGTTTTTCCAAATGGCGGGGGTATTAAAATTATTTTTTCTTTTTGAAAACAACGTACAATTCTAAGTAGATTTAACAAATAGTCCAGTAAAAATCAAAAGTGTGATTTTTGTCAAGTCGTGTTAAGAAAATAATGAGCTTTTAAATACTACCTAGAGCTTTGCTCCAACTGTGACCATTTTTCAATTAATGTAATTAGTTTTTATTATATAAACTGCGGCATCATGATCCTAAAAATCTTTCTAGAACTACCGTAATAATGGCAATAATTTTGACAAAATAGCCTCAAATTTTCGAGAATTAAAATTCTTTGTCAAACTATAAATCCGGCTGTTCAAAGTCGACTAATTATGAAAATTTTAAACTCATAGTTGAACAAATAGCCTTATTTCGAAAAAACTTTGGGCAGTTATGTCGTTATTTTTACCTGTGGTCCTAGAAATTTTATTTACTTACGTTTACGGTACCAAAGATTACATAAACAAAAATAATAAAAATTAACCACGATAACTGAAAAATTGACACAGTTACAGCAAAGCTCCAGATTGTACTTAAAGGTTCATAACATTTATACTGCATAGGATCATTTTTTTAATTCTTTTTTCATGATATTTACGATCAATACTATCACCCAGTTTCGGCTCGACATTGAATTTTGGGACAACCTTTATATTTAGGATGGTTCATTTTGATGGTAAAATATTTGCATTACATCTTATAAGGCATACATATAATTGCAGGTATGGACATGTAATTTTACATCTTCATCAATGGAAATAAACAACTTGGGAAATAAACATTATAAAATATATTATTGACTATCTCTATTTAATAGAGAGTCCTATATTAGATTGATTTTATGTTCATAGATGAAAACTCAAAGGTTTATCTTAATTCTTAGTGATGAATTTATTATTACTATTTCTGTAAAATCTATTTCCATCTATATTCTTTGAAAACCTATGTCACTACTGCTTGACATCATGCTGTACGAAGTGGGTATCGAACCAACTCTTGGTTGGAAGGACGAAGTTCTTTTGATAAAATATTTTTACATTTTAACAAATAATATTTTATTTAGTGTTCGTGCGTGCATGTGTGAATGCATATATTTAAATAAACAAGTCAAAGTTTCCTCACTCATTGTATTTTTATTACTTTAGTATTCAATGCGACATAGTTGATTGAATGCAAACATGCCACTATAATTAAGATAATTTAACAATAAGCAATTGTTTATTTGACATCAAAGATTATTTAAAAGTAAAATTTAGAGTTTTACAAATAAGAAGTTTTGTATCGTTCGGACGTTGTGCATAAAAGTCGTCAGATTTTTCAAATATATTGAAGCCAAAATACAGATCAAATAATAATCTAATATATTAAATTTAATTAACTATTATACTGATAAAGTCATGAAAAATATGGCATTTTTGGGCTGCTACATACTTCTTAATTAGTTTTCAGTTTTCTTTTTAAAAATAGAAGAACATTAAACGTAGTTTTGGTAAAAGTTGTATTTAAAAATCATAGACTTTGAGTTCCAACTAAGTATCTCTATATATTTGGAGAACAACCAAAAAATATTAATTATAATAAATAATACTCAATTAATTTCTTGGGTGCATCAAATAATCTGTGATCTCGAAAAAATAGTTACAATTATTTCTTGTCAGTGTTTATTCTTGTAGTTTTTAATATTTATTATTTAGTCTTTTTCTTCCAAATTGTTATATTCACTGATGAATATAATGTCGAAGCGAATAGAAAAAAAAGGATGCTTTAATTTTTTACTAGATATTATTATTTCTAAGCGTTCAATGTATATACATACATATATATATATATATATATATATATATATATATATATATATATATTAGGGTGGTCCTTAATATGGACATTTTCGAATTTCCTTGCTCCCAAGGGCTCAAATGGTCGCAAATTGATAAAAAACAATTCTCCGAAAGTTTCAGTTCTTAATATTGTATTTTAGATAGATCGCAATTCAATCAAAGTTTTGTATGAAAACACCATGAAAATTTTTTAAAAAATTTTGCAGGGCGTCGAATTTTCAATAAAAAATTACACAAATTTTCACTTTTAATTCATTTGTCACTAAGTCATACCTGAATTTTTTTTTTAATTTTCAAAATTTTTTCATGCTGTTTCCATACGAAGTTTGATTGAATTGCGCACTATCTAAAAGTTAATATTAAGAGCTAAAGCTTTCAGAGAATTGTTTTTTATCAATTTGGAACCATTTGAGCCCTTGGGAGCAAGGAAATTCGAAAATGTCCATATTAAGGACCACCCCAATATATATATATATATATATATATATATATATATATATATATATATATATGCATTATTTGAATGCTTGAACAGACTTATTTATGTTTATATCAAAAATATTATTCATAATAAATCGCTGACAATACATTTTTTAAGTTTAGAGAAATTTAGTAAACGTTACGATATTTGATATTGTCAACAAAGACGAAATTATATTTACACCCATATTTTCAAGTGCAAACTGATATTACTTCCGCTTGATAACAGGTTGTACATGTTTTTTACATAATTATTTAAATACCTGAGCAAGTATTCAGCCGAGTTTCTGAGAAACAGTCTTGCCATGGGAATAACAGTGCTCCTAAAACATAGTAGTATGCATCACAGTTTTGTTTCTTCCATCGGCGAACTAAACTTCTTGTTCTAGTTGCATGGCCTAAATACACATACATAAAAACTATAACTAAAAAATAATCATTGAGTATTTTAAATATGTTGTCATATTAGTCGGTAATACTTCTTTGTGATAAGAGAAAAAACTTTTCCATTCCCGAGACTATTAGACGACATGATTTACGCGTTTTATTTAAGTCATGTTAATAAAACTATTTTTTTTATAGGTTTTCAAAAATAAGTTGCTTTTTACCTTTGCATCACTATCTTTACTATGCTTACATGAGCTTAAACTTTTTCATCGAAATTTTGTAGCTCCTTACAATTTTAATCATACTAATGCCATCATGCATCATGCTATCATACATGAATTAAAAAAAATATTAATATTTTTTGGGTTGAATAATTAAATATTAAATATCTTAAATATTCATTATTATTACCTGATGGATGTGTTTCGGCGTTAAAGGCATGAGAATATCTCGTGCACATATAGTTATAAAATTTAAAACGTGATATATCTTCTACACGGGTTGGCAGACAAATGGGCCTTATTTCATCTGTAAAATATAATAATAATGTAAATTTAAATTTCAAACATTTTTATATAAATCTTTAAAAGTTTCGCGTTTAAAAAGAACATTTTTAAAAAAAAAAAAAAAAAAAAAAAAAAACTATTGCTATGGCAATAAATAGTTCAAAAGTTGCAAAATGTAATGATTTTCTTTATAAGAGCATTTTAAATATATTCTATATAAGAGCAATAATAGGTAAACTAAAATAAATTTTCAAGGATTTGTATATGAAATAATTTAAAATCATATTGCTCGATATAAATAAAGCTTACAATTTTTTGACAACTCTACCATGGAGAGCGTAAATGACCATTATGGCAAATCTTCTTACATATCTTTAATAATAAGTAATACTACGATTACTAAAATGACGATATAAAACTAATTAGTAATATATTCATTGATTGCATTCTTAAAATCGTCTGCTGTATTTTTAGTGATTTTAGTTTCAAAATAGTATTAAAAAGTTTTTTGCTTCAGCATTTTCCTTGGCTTGCTTTGTTTCGAAATGAAACCTTTGCAATAGTTTTCATTAGAATTTAGTACAATTCTGTAGAAAAAATAGAACCACAATCCTGTTGATCGTTCAAATATTAAAATACATGTACTGCCGCAATTCAGCATTTTAATTTTTTAATATTAGGATAAAAGAGTGCATCCTTAAAGCGTGCAATAAGAAGTAATAGCAGAAAAGTTTTCCTAATGAAATAATTTAATAACTATTTTGTGTATCTAAAATTATCATATTCTATTTATTTTCTCACAATCAGAGCTATCTTTTATATCAATTCTAGCCTCATTTTTTTATTCATGATTTATCGTATACTTACCAAAATATTGATGATCATATGTCTCTAGGTAATACGAATCGTCGTATTCACAATTCTTACGTTAGTTTATTTAGCTAGTTTTTTTACCTGTGATTACAATAGGAGGTCCAAATTTAACAACAGCTAAATCAGCTTGCTCGTGTGTGTTAATATCTAAAACATATCTTCTATCTGCATACTTTATTTCGGTTTGATTTTCTGTTAAGTGTGCGTACTCACCAAAAAATACTCTATCACTAAAAGCAGAATTAATTAGTTTATATTAATTATTATTATTATAGAAAATTTAAAATATAAACATATTGCAAGTGTGTAAAAAGACACATTCTTCTATAACATTTAAAAAAATATATTATTTATGATATTTAATCATCACAATAGTAGCTTCTTTTCAATTTCTCGAAGGAAAAGTTTATGCTATTGCTAGAAAATCCGATTTCCCAATTTTTGAAGTAAAACTTTTTTAAGTGCGACTAGAGTGTAAGTAAATCCTAGGAAGAGTTGAGTGCCAATGATTCGTCATTCGCTCTCCATATCATTCTTATATGGGTCGATTGTGATTAGTCGTCGCGTATATGAATAGAGATCTGTAGTTGCATGCGTACCGGCAGGAAATCGGCATAGGTAAACAAACATTTTAATTTTACATCGTAGTACAAATATTCATTTAATGAAAAATGCCTGAATCAGAAGAATATTTTACCCTGTTCCCCGTAAATAATTATAATGAAAATCACAAAACAAATGCAGAATTTGCGCCGTGTATAAAACATAAGTTTATTGAAACAATTTCTATATTATTCATAGTTTCTATAAATCTTTGAAGTTATTGAAATGGAATTTTTTCCAGGCAAAATAGATATTACAGCTGTTCAAAGAATGAAATTATATCGCCAGCAAAAAAGTAAAAAAATACCATCAAATGTATGTTAATTTTAATTACATGAAGTTCTTCGAGCACAATTATTACATGATGAGTAAAGTTGCGATAACAATATTTGTTTAGGCGTTGTTTAACATAATACGACACTGTTTGAACGAATATTATAGAAGTTATTATTCAGCAAATACTTCATTTTTCTAATAAAGATTCATTTCTAAATGCTAATTACAATGACAAACCGATTATGTCATATTCGAAGTATGGCTTTAATTACATTATTGTTTTTAAATATTATACATATTTGTAATGCTATTATAAATATGTAATTTATAATTCATAATTATATAAATGTGTATAATAATTGACACTAATAAATATATGCATCACGAGTGTTACCATATAACTAATAAACATTATTCAAAATTGTTATATGATGTATTTATTTTTACTTAAATGCCATCTTGTACAGTAGCAAATAAGTTTTACTTCAATCGCGTGTGAACCTTACGCGTACTCTTTTTTTTACTTTTTTCGCGTTTCAAGTCATTCCGTATCGTTTTGCTAAATTTGGATAAAAATATGAGTGTATTCGAGTCAAGATTTGATCTTTCATCGACGTTTTCTATAAAACGGCTGCACCAATTTCAAAAAATTAGAAATCATTTGATGTAATCCGATAGGGACTAGTGATAGTTTTCAGACGATCAGCGAAACCGTTTCTTCAGAATTAGCAAAAATGTAAAGAAAAAGTCTTGAAACGTTTGTAAAATGAATCATTTAATAAAAGTGCAAAAGAGAGTGCAGTGTGCAAATTTCCAAAAAAATATTTTTTCCATTCAAAACTTTTAATATATATATATATATATATATATATATATTCAATATTTAATCAATCAATATATTGTTTTAGAATGATCTATTTTCAACAAAATCTCTAATACTTACAATCTTAGATATTGTGAAACATCAACATTTTGCGTGGATGTAAGAATGTGCTGCTTATCAATGAGAAATCCTTTTGAAATGTACGTCGGATATTTTGACGATTTGTCTCCTGAAATTGTATTCACTTTAATATATGTTTAAAAAAAATTAGTAGCAAACAGAACTGTATGTAATACAACCGAAATATTATATCTGCCATTCCAGTGAATAAATGGTTAAGTCGAGTTTAGGCAAAAATGTTTTAAATGGCAGTATTAACTATTTTTCTGGTAATAGTTATTAAATTGAAGAACTATTGGTCAGGAGGAAAAGTTAATGTGCACTTTATATACAATTTAAACGCTTTACAAAATGGTGAAAATTGACTTAACTATAACTAATTCACTGGGATGACAGATATTAGACATCTATAACATCAAGTGAAAATTTGATATCATACTGCTTGATATCGATCTTGGCTGGGATAGATCCCAGGATTAGTTTGTGCTAGCCCTTGCCGGTACGTCACAGCTGGCTCATTGTTAAGAATCAATGTTTTTGTTTGAGTATAATACAAATTGCAAATGTTTAAAAAAATACTACAATATTTTTATATTTAATATTTAAATTTGAACATCTCAAAAATACAAATTGATGTTATGTTAATACCATCGAGTTATTTATTATTAGACAACTATTATCTATAATTCTTAGATCTTTTTATCATGTCAGTATAATCATCATAATCAAATGTATATAAGATTCTAATTTCAAATCAATAATTATAAATTAGCCTAATAGAGCGATGAATTGGTTTTGTCATGCCCATCCTTGACTTTTATTTACGATTACACATTTATTTGCAAACGAAAAATGTGAAGACCATTGCTCTACATGTTCAATTAATTATGGTATTATCAGTATTATATCATTATGATTTACCAATCGGAAAATGTTCCAAATAGACTATCCATGGGTAATGATCTGATCTCGAAGAATTATAACCACATTCTGGAGGGCTGGGTAAAGCATTTGACGAACCTATAAATATACACATTAGGTAGTGATATAAAATTTACTACTAATCAACGAATTTGTATCGAACTATTTTCACTAAATCATACTGTTATTCTTTTCTACACATATAAAAATTTATAAAAATTTCTCTTAAGCTTTTTAAATTTAAATAAACAGTTCTGCATCTGCTTTATATATAAACAATCATATTCATATGCAACATAGTTTTTTAAAAATATTTTTGATTCATTATTTTTATTCCTCTGTGCCGAAAATAAGTTGTAGTTGAACAACACCATTCGAAATTTTTTTAAAATAGTAAAGTGCACTCTAAATTATACTTACAAACCGTTACTGCCAAAAGCACAGAGAATACAAAATAATTCATATTTCAAATAATATTCTAAACAGCACACTTCTGTATATAGTGTCTAACACTTTACAACGTTATATATTCGTATTATAATTATTTGGCATTGCATTGAAATCTGTGTTTAAACTAAACTAGTAATTTGTAACAGATTGTAATAAAAAATTATCAATTATTTTGACCTGTGACCATATTTATCAATACTTGCTGTTTTTAGCTACAACTATTTCATATGATTTACGAAACAGCATCAAAACGAAAAAAATCCAGACAAATTAGACTAGATTCAATTTTATATGAATTAAATATTTTTGTCAACGTGACCTGGTAAAAAAATAATTAATCATTACATAGCTCTAAGAATATATTATAGTTATAAGTGTTTATGTTAGACATAGATTTGAAGTACATTTCAATAATTTATATTTTCTACTTATTGTTCAATTTCAAACCTGAATTTTTCACTAAAATATATTACCTTCACTGGAAGTGTAAATGAGTTGAAATATTTTGCGCGAATCTGATTCACAAAAAAAAACTATTGGTGTATGGCATCGTGCCTTAAGGCAAATTGCTGGAACTTCCCGTACCGTAACAAAATGTTCGAGGAATATTAAATGTTTTCAAATAGATTATTATAAATATTGTAACATTGTCTAATATTTATAAAATTATATAAACTGAATAACAAAGTTAAAATTATTCACTTAAAGTATAGAAGTGAGCTTTAGAACTTTAACCAGAATTAAAATTATTGAAATCTAAATAATTTTCGATATACAAACAAAATTGAAAAAAATTTTTTTTTCTAAAAGCAATTGTTTCATCAACACAAGCAGAAAGTTTTTTGAATCATTCAAATCGGATGCTTATTTCTCTCAAAAACTGCCATTTTTGTACATTATGCTCCGTTCTCTCAAAACTCTGCAAATTTTCTGCATTGTTTGCTCCGTATCTCCAAGACGGCTGGACCTGCTTTTGCCAAGAACTAATCAGCACATCTCCCTATCAATAGGAATCGAATGTTTTTTTTTAACCCTTTAAATCGGTTAATCCGTGCGCCCGAAAACGTGAACGAAAAAATGCGAACACATCCATTTTTTTCTGACGAGGTATGCCAAATGTTCAGAAACCTTCAAAAAGTGGAGAAA